GTGCTTTAGGTATCTTGCTTTGCTATCCTTTTTTTCCACAATTTAAATTCTTTTCAATCCTTGACCTTTAAAGAGCTAGTAAATAAAGCTGTTTTGTTTCGCTTTACTACTGTTTGAGCACTGCTGTGGATTGTGTATGATGTACATCTCATGGCTCTTTAGTTATAGACACAAATACTTAAAACTACTCAAACACTCAAAGGGCATCCACTTGTGTACCAATTTGCGAACCTGAAGATAAACTGCAGTCTGACAAGATAACATCTTAAAGTAATCTTTATTATAGCAAGAAACAGAAAGTACAACGAAAAAATAACAAGCACTTTTGATGTGATAAGTAAAGTTAGAAGTAATACAAGCAAAATCATACAAAAAGGCAATGTCATATATGCAAAAGCTATAAATTGTAGAGGATTACCCTTTTGGCAAGTGCAAATGTCATTGCCATGTCATTTAACATGGAATACAGAGAGTATATGCCTAGTGATTGTTTGCAAACTAAGAATAAAAAGTATGAATGGTACCAAAGCGTTAAATAAACATCTTTTGAGAAAAACCTTGAATGTTAACATTGGTTTAATTTTTTCTAAGTATCTCTTTTTACTCTTCTAAGGTTTGCAACTTGGCATATTAGGTCCTATTTTGGCAAACAAGGGTGTGAAAAAAAAATATACATATATTTTTTTTACAACAAAAACCTTTTTAACGAATTCTGCTGAATGAACCCAGGCCACCCGGTGACATCACGTGTGTGACCACGCCCCCGTGTGACATTATCGACCGGGGCGTGCTGGGCTGCATGCTCGGATAAGGGTCTGGTATGGATTTTGGACCCCACACCATTTTTTAAAATAAAAATTTGACTTGGGGGTTCCCCTCAAAATCCAAAGCAGACCTGAAAGGCTTGGTATGGATGGAGGGGGGGGACCCCACGCCGTTTTTAAAATTATTCTTTGAATTTCCGGCAATTCTTTTACATTCAGCTGTCAATGAGGAACACCGCTGACAGCTGAAACATTGACATGTTTTTCACTACTAAAATACTGCATGACTTGATAAAATAACTCATGTGGTATTTTAGTAGTGTTTTTTTCGTGAATTCAAACTTTTTTTTTAAAAAAATGCTATGCGGTAAGATACTGCTTAGTGAATTGTGCCCAGTGGAAAGAGGGGTGGACCCCAAGTAATTTTTTAATTTTTTTTTAATTGCCAGAATTTTTTTTTTCACATTCAGCTGTCAGTGGGGAACCCCGCTGACAGCTGATGACTCATAGGTTGTTAGGCACTCGGCAGCCACCCATTCCTTAACAACCCATGATAGTACTGACAGATATCAGTACATACCGCATGCCTGGACCACTACTTACCGCATGCATTTAATAATTTATTTCCTTTTGTGAATTGACTTTAAGATCTTTTTATGCTGTATTATTGAGTGTTTTTGTTATTTTCGGTAAATACTGCATACTAGGAATAGTGAATTGACATTTTCAGTATCGCATGCGATATGTGGTCATGTGACTGACTTAACTCGTACAATAAGCTTTAGTGAATTGTGCCCACTAAAGCTTCGACTAGTACTACAGTTTGTTTATTTGGAATTATTTTTTTTAGAAATGTGTGTGTTACAATGTAGCCATATTCAAATAGTAGTTTAAAGTATGCAAATTATTATTTTTTCTTTATATGTAACATTAATATCCAGTTGTGGATCACCATGGCTCTTTAGCTAAAGGTTTCCATTTAAAATGCTGCTACCTCCAAAAGATTAAGTATCATAAATTAAAAGGCTGTCAGACATCAAAGACAGTTTCTGTTTTTAGGTAAACTAACATAGTTGAATCTTTATTTAAAAAAGAAAAAGATTAATTTATCCTATAACAGATTATTTACTACAAGATTTAGATTTCCCCTGATAACCTGAGGATAAACATTCTTAGTCCAAGGGTGCCATCACTTATATTTTCTCTCTCTTGATAATTTTTATTCATTTTCCGGTTGCAAAAATTTTGTGCTGGCTGATTTGCTACCCCATTAGATCCCCTAACACCCGGTTAATTGGTCATTTTATATTGCCATATTGGCATAATTTAGATGGACTTCACCCAGGAATTCAACTGTAGCGGGTTCATGGGTTGAGTGGTCAATTGCAGATTATTGTCTGCAAAATTTAATAAAACTAGATAGGGTATCTATGAAGGGGATTTAATTGTTTGAGATAATATAAATATCTGCTATTACAGGATACATTTTAGAAAGTCATTGTAAAATCTTTGCATTACTGACATATCTCAATTTCACTGATGGTTCTTGTAAGTAATTTCTGTAAAATAATTTTTTTTTTAATACACTTTATTGGTAAAAGTATTGGGACACCCCTCCAAATCATTAGATTCAGGTGTTCCAATTACCTCCATGGCCACAGGTGTATAAAATCCAGCACCTAGACATGCAGACTGCTTCTACAAACATTTGTGAAAGAATGGGTCACTCTCAGGAGATCAGTGAATTCAACCATGGTACCGTGATAGGTTGCCACCTGTGCAATAAGTCCATCTGTAAAATTTCCTTACTACTAAATATTCCCCAATCAACTGTTAGTGGTAATAACAAAGTGGAAGCAACTGGGAAAAACAGCAACTCAGCCACAAAGTGGTAGGCCATGTAAAGTGACAGAGCGGGGCCAGCACATGCTGAAGCGCGCAGAAGTTGCCAACTGTCTCCAGAGTCAATAGCTAAAGACCTCCAAACTTCGTGTGGCCTTCAGATTAGCACAACAACCATGCGTAGAGAGCTTCATGGACATGGGATTCCATGGCCGAGCAGCTGCATCCAAGCCTTACATAACCAAGTGCAATGCAAAGTGTTGGATGCATTGGTGTAAAGCACGCCGCCACTGGACTCTAGAGCAGTGAAGATGTGTTCTTTGGAGTGATGAATCACGCTTCTCCCTGTCTGGCAATCCGATGGACATGTCTGGGTTTAGTGGTTGCCAAGAGAACAGTACTTGCCTGACTGCATTGTGCCAAGTGTAAAGTTTGGTGGAGGTGGGATTATGGTGTGGGGTGGTTTTTTCAGGAGTTGGGCTTGGCCACTTAGTTCCAGTGAAGGGAACTCTTAAGGCGTCAGCATACCAAAACATTTTGGACAATTTCCTACTCCCAACTTTGTGGGAACATATGGCCCCATTCTGTTCCAACATGACTGCGCATCAGTGAACAAAGCAAGGTCCATAAAGACATGGATGAGTGAGTTTTGGGTGGAGGAACTTGTCTGGTCTGAACATCGAGTGAGAGGCCGGAGTGAAGAAGGACAGCTGACAGGTAAATGTGCTGTGCTGATGGTGCTGCTGCAACCAGGTATGCTGGCTGCAGTAGCACCTAGGCTGAAGCAGGGGTCAGCAAGTTACGTGTCATTGGTGTTAGTGGGAGGAATAGTGCCCCATCATTGGTGTCACTGATACTAATAAACCAAAAATATATATCCCAGCGCCAAAAAAAGAAAAAACTATATGATTAAGCAGCAGTAAAAAAACACCAATAATAAACAACACAAAAACAGCGCAAAATCTAAAATTAAAATAACACAAATAGATGAACGCTAAATTTATAATAAGTGTCTGTGAAAAAAAAAATGTATATATATAAGTCCTTATTCCCATAAAAACCAATCAAAAATCAATCAAAAATCTTCCAAATATGCTTCCACCTATCCACCACGTGAGAAATAATGTTGACCGCACACACCAGATGGAGGTGAGTAGTAAGCCTTATAGGATATAAGGGATCCTATAACCCCTCCAAAGGAACTCAAATCTCCTTCTTCACCCTGCTATGGTATAGCCCTTGTCTCCACTCTATTTCTCCATGGATTCCTCAATGGTGTGTAGAGAAAAAAACTACATAGTATAATACTGCCACTCCATATAAAATATAAAGATAGAATAAGGCCACTCACATGTTTAAATAAAATTAAAAGCCTTGTTTAATAGCCTCAATGGCTTCAAGATAACAAATTTTCAGAATGTAGAACAGGGATCTCACGCTTCTATAGTCACTGCAGAGGATGATTAGCCTTCCACCTCCAAGATGGCCGCTTGAACAGCATAAGCCGGCGTGCGTTCCAAACATCGGAAGTGACGTTAACCAGAATGACGGCGGACCGGAAGTGCGTCAACGCATTTCACCCCACCCACAGGGCGTTCTCAAGACCGTCTGCGTTCAGAGTTCAGTAGTTTGCAATGTATAATTCAGCAATTGGTAACGCAAATTTCAGAGTTCCAACTACAAATGTACTATGTACGCCGCGTTTAGTAGTCTGTAAGGCAGAGTTGTCTGTGTTACAAACTACTGATATCTGAATGCTGTGTTACAAACTACTGAACGCTGAGTTACAAACGGTTTACATTTTTGACTGGCGTGCCCCCCAGATTCTGCCAAATTTTAAAGGGTGCCTTGGCTGAATAAAAGGTTGCAAAACACTGGGTTAGGAAATCACTTTACCCAACAGTGCTTGCATAGATCTGGTCCAGAGTGCAAGCAGCATGAGAACTAAGGCCAAGTCATTGGGACCCCGGTATTATTATTATTATTGAAAATTTTGGACGGCTGAAATGTCTGCACATTGAAGTAGCAGAGAGATTTAGTCACTTGTGTAGCTCTAGGCCAGTGATGGTGAACCTATGGCACGCGTGCCAGAGCTGGCACGCAGAGCCATCTCAGTGGGCACACCAGGAAGAAGAGGATGATGAGCGCACACGGACCGGCCATCCAGATCTCGTCCACACTGGACCTCCATCAAACTACATTTCCCACATGTCTTTGGGGCCAGGGTGGGCGTGGACGAGAGGAAACGGCTCCAATGCGGCTCTGGCACCAGCGGTGATGTACCCGGGGATGGGCGCGGAAGAGAAGAAGAGGCTCCCACACTGCTCCGGGGCCAGGGGCAACGTGTTCAGCATGAATGGGAATGAGCTGCTGGGTTGGAAGCCACACCGACGCTGCCAGAGGTGAGATTAACTGCTTGCAGTGTCATCCATCAGTGCCCAGCAGTGTCGCCTGTCAGTACCCAGCAGTGTCGCCCATCAGTGCTGCCCATCAGTGCCACCCATCAATGATGCCCAGCAGTGCCATCCATCAGTGCCCAGCAGTGTCAACTGTCAGTGCTGCCCAGCAGTGCCACCTGTCAGTGCTGCCCAGCAGTGCCACATGTCAGTGCCCAGCAGTATCGCCCATCAGTGCTGCCCATCAGTGACACCCATCAATGATGCCCAGCAGTGCCATCCATCAGTGCCCAGAAGTGCCACCCATCAGTGCCCAGCAGTGTCGCCTGTCAGTGCTGCCCAGCAGTGCCACCTGTCAGTGCTGCCCAGCAGTGCCACCTGTCAGTGCTGCCCAGCAGTGCCACCTGTCAGTGCTGCCCAGCAGTGCCACCTGTCAGTGCCCATCAGTGTCGCCCATCAGTGCTGCCCATCAGTGCCACCCATCAATGATGCCCAGCAGTGTCCACCCATCAGTGCCCAGCAGTGCCGCCTGTCAGTGCTGCCCAGCAGTGCCACCTGTCAGTGCCCAGCAGTGTCGCCCATCAGTGCTGCCCATCAGTGCCACCCATCAATGATGCCCAGCAGTGCCACCGATCAGTGCCGTCTGTCAGTGCGTCCAGGTAGGCAAGTGGTTAATTGCAGTGTTGGCACTTTGAAATAAAAAAGTTGGTTTGTGTTGCAGTTTTGGGCACTCGGGCTCAAAAAGGTTCGCCATCACTGCTCTAGGCTAACTCTGGCATCTACTGGACTGCACAGTCATATTTAGACACCCAGTTCTGCATTAAAAGAAAATAGGACCTAAGACTGTGAAACTGGAGGTTGTTAGAACAACTTCTGTCTGTCGGCATATCTATTTCTGTGACTTAAATTGGGCTTTAAACACGTCTTGCTTGAGAAAGGGGCACATATTTTTTGGGACAGATGCTTTCATCTTGTTAGCCTAGCAACACTTTAACAAGCTCAGAAAGACACTTCCATTGTCTATACAGGACTGTCACTTTGCCTTACGATACATTCCTACTTATCGAACATGTCAACATAGAAGACAGGTAGGACAATTATGATTCCTGTTAGGGGGCAACTAATATCTCAAAATGAAAAGTAACAAGTGTGTATGTCTAGGAGAGAAGAACATAACAGCAGACTACAGAGAACACAATGCGGGATGTGGGATTCTCAGAGATTAGAAAAAACCCATCAACATGTGTTGGACAATAGGATGACAGCACTGTAAGCACTTCAAGAGGCCTACAGGCAAGTTACTCAGCAGACTCAGCGTGGAAAGTAATGTAAAAGGAAGAGAAATGGGGAGTCACAGAGAGAGGCAAAGTGATCATAAAACAAACTCATTTCCTCATTTAAGCATGGCTGGTTTCCTAGACTCCAGTGTATCATTTCACAGCAGCTGCTTAAAGATTATGTTCTGTATAAATTATTTAGTAACCAATAGAGGTGCGGGGGCCCTTCTGAGTGCACCTTTGATACAGAGATGTCAGCCATATTAGTGAATGTATGGATCCAGGTGCAGGAGATGCAATCAATAATTAATTTAATTTGAATCATAGTGCTTCATACTGCTAAAGTGACACGCGTATGTCCTTCAGCAGCAAAAGCATACCAAAACTTTAGGAAAAAAAGATTGTTAATTTTGTCAAAGCTGTGTTTATTATAAGGTCAGTGCCTAGGGCAACAGGGAAAGAGAAGCAATAAAACCATATGCTTTCTATTTATGTTTACTTTTATCTTGACTTTGGCCACTTGTGAACACTTGTCTGTTAAAGTGATTGTAAGATTATTATTTTATAACAAACAAACTTACCTGCTTTGTGCAATGGTTTTGCACAAAGCAGCTGTCAGAGATGCAGGTGTGACCAGAAGTGTGTGGACTGACACAGGGAAATGCAAGCTTCAGATATGGTATAAATAAGACGCTTTATTAAAGACTAACAATACAAACATAAACGCAGTGCACCAAACCCCAAGCTAACACAAATACATACAACAAGGTGAAACAAACCCAAACCTAAATTGATACAGATACCCAGGTACATACACATGTAGAGCACAACGTAGTTAGGCAGGTCGGGTCGATAACTATCGGGCAGGTAGGTACAGGAGGAGCAGGCGGAGAGAATGGTCAGGGTCACAAGCCAGGGATCAAAACAGAAGAAGTCAGAAGAGGTCAGGATCAGGCAGGGTTGGCAACAAGTCAGGCAGAAACAGGAATGCAGGTTACAAGATACAGGGGCCCATGGAAAAAAACACACAGCAAGGCACAGACTGCAGGTCTGGCCATCCCTTAAATACACCTGCAATCAGCCCCAGGTGATGGCTAATTGCCGAAGTGAACCTCTGGTTGTTGAGAGCACCCGCTGGCCAACCCTGGTACTGCAGCCCACAAGGCAGGTGAGTCCCACCACTATTGGCAAGTCCATTCCTGACAGCAGCCTGGATCCTCCTTTTCTTGGATCCTCCACTGGCACTATGGGCTCCGACTCTTATGTGGGTGCCACCGTAGGAAGCAGCTTATTGTGGCAAACGTGTGGGCTTGATCCCGAGCTGTGCTGTGTGTGTGAATAGTTGTCTCCGCCCCCTGCTCCCTTGTCATTTGTTCAGATTTGATTGACAGCAGTGGGAGCTGATGGCCCTTACTAAGTCCAGTGAGAAGGGTGAGAAAGAACACTGCTACTGCTGTCAGGCACAGCGCTGGATCAACATCGAGCTCAGGTAGGTATTTACAGTACGCTAGAAGCGATACCCGTGCTGTTCCTTTAGAGCCCTGTGCCGTAAACCAGTGTTTCTCAACCTTTTTTCAGTCAACGCACCCTCTAAAATTATGGACAGTCCCAAGGCACCCTTTAAAATTATGGACAGTCTTGAGGCACACCATTCTAAAATGTGAGAAACTATTCTAATTTTATATTTTTCAGCAGAATCCACACATGTAGGACACCCAACATTAGGGGTGATTAATTCTTCCAAAGCAAATACAATTTTGCACACTGGTACTGACTAGTATTCCAGTGTTTCTCTTCTCCCTCAGTTTTTCTCCATCACTGAGCTAATGTGACCCCAGCACTGATGGAGAGGGTCAGGGGAGGGTCAAACTAGGATGCTGTACAGGCAGCTGACATCCTTCTTATCAACTGATGTCATTGATTGTCAGGACACTGGTGGCTAGAAGTTCGTAATGGTGCACAATGAAAACCTGTGGCTTTGTGTAACTAAAAGGCAGGCTTTTTCGACTCATTGGCTTGTATACAAGTTTTGGGCACTTAGACATTTTGCCATGGCACCTTTGAAGAAACCTCAAGGCACCCTGGTTGAGAAAGACTGCCGTAAACAATGACTCCTTCGCGCATGCACTGGAATGACGTCACTGCAGCTTGGCCTTTCAAGTGGCCGCAGCCAGAGAACCCAGAAGGAAGAACGGGTGAAAATGGATTCCTTGTCAGCTGTGAAAGAGTGCCACTGGAAGGATCTGTTTCATAGGTAAATCCACAATCCCAACGCACACTTTCCTGCAAGAAATGGCTGTATGCATAGGTAGATGCTGCACATGCCTGGTGAAGGGGTCCTGCAAGACTCTGAAACTTTGCCTTTCTGTAATTATGTAAACATTCATTAAAGCCTTTTCGGACCCACATTGGAGATCCTTGGTGTGCCGGTGACATTTCCCTCCATTTCATAGGTAAGTCTGCCATAATGTGCTAGTATGCAATGCATACTAGTACACTGTGACTTTACCCTGCAGGAGAACAGTTTTTTTTTTTTTTCAGTGGTTTACTACAGCTTTAACCGCTTCCTGACCACCATATAGCAGATATACTGCTACAGGGTGGTAGGGGTGTGCAAAATCACGTATATATAAGTGATTGTGTGTTTTCGAACAGGGGTGTATATGCGAGCTGCACGCACACACGCCTTACCCACTCCGTCATTCCCTGCCGGCGCTCAGTGATTACTGAGCATCTCCAACGGGGAGGACTGCTTTGTTTACTAACAGTCCTCATCCCTGTCAGCTCAGGCACACTGCTCTGGATGGCTGTGCACAGTGTTCTTACAGTGAAGCACACACACCACCCCCTATGTAAAACACTCCAAGCGCACAATTAATTCTTCAATCGCCCCTCATGTTAACCCCCTTTCCTGCCCAGTGCCATTAGTACAGTATCAGTTGTTTTCTTTAGGTGTCACTGGGGATGTCAGTGACATCAAGTCAGTTCCCCCCAGTCCCGCTATAAGTCACTGATCACTACCATTACTAGTAAAAAAAAAAGCAAAAAATTCCAGTATCTATACCGCCATTTGTAAACACTATAACTTTCACGTAAACCAATTAATTTACATCTATTGGTTTTTTTTTTTTAGCAAAGACATGCAGCAGAATACATTTTGGAATAAATTTATGACAAAATTTCATTTTTAAAGTTTTTTTTACTGGACATGTTTAATAGCAAAAAGTCAAAAATATAGTTTATTTCTTAAAATTGTCGATCTTTTTTTTATAGCCTATAAAATGAAAAAACACACAGGCGATTAAATACCACCGAAAGAAAGCTCAATTTGTAGGAAAAAAAGAACATAAATTTAATTTGGGTGCAGTGCTGCATGATTGCGCAATTGTCAGTTAAAGTAACGCAGCGCCATAACACAAAAAATGGCCTGGTCAGGAAGGGGGGTAAATCCTCAGGAAGATCAAGTGGTTAAACAGAACGCATAGTATATTTTTATTGATAACATATTTTGTGTTTTAATAACATCCTTTTTCTTACCTCATTCTTGATATGACTTTTTTCTTCATTTTAGTGCCTTAGAGCATTTTAAAAGCTTTTTTTTCATTTGTTTTATAGAAATTTGTAGATCAACCAGTGAATGGAACTGTGTATATTACTCATTTACATTCATACTCCCTATTTAACAGCTATTGAGATGTCAGCCGCACAGCGAGTGTATTGTTTTAAGTTAGTCACCTGATACATAAAGCACAACTATTGTGTAACACTTTCACTCAAAAAGGCTGAGTGTGCAAACATGGCTGATGAAAGACCTTTGTGGGTGTACATTACCAAACAAAATTATCTGTCATTATCTGTCGGACAAACATATATACATTTTTTTTTTAACATACTTTTTCCATTAATATAATCAAACATCTGCATGCAACATGTTTACATATTTCCTGTGTCTGGAAGTGTTGTTTTGATATTATCTAGCGTGGTATCAGGTACATTTTCCAAACAACATTTGCAATAAAGACAG